CCCTAAACCCTAAACCCCGATATAAATTCCGAAGCCCTGTGAAGAAAACCGCTGAGCTTCTCACCGGAGGACTCCATCAGAGCTGCCTTCGCGGTCTTCAAGGCCTCTTAGGGCTAAGGGCTCAGGGCGCAGGGTGTAATGTTGGGTTTGGGGTTTAGGGCTCAGGGGGCTAAGCCCTAAACCCTAAACCCCCAAACCTAAGCCTTCACAACTAGAATAAGGCCTTCTGGGGTATATTCTGCCTGTAGTCATAGTAAGGAATCCCCAAAGAAAAAGGCCATGGTCATGATTTAAGTCCTTGTAGTTGGGTGCAGGGTTTCGGGTTGGCAAACGGTTTTGGGACTATGGGCTTCTGGGGTTTACACGGGCTTTAGGGCTTGGGGTGCTAATGTAAGGGCCTTAAATCATTAGACTGGGGTTCTGGGCTCCTTTATAGTATAACTATAACAAGGAACCCTAAGGAACAATATTGGCAATTACTCAGGCTTCTATATTGGGAGTTTGAGAAGGCTTCGGGGTGGGCGCATTGCCGTTCAGGTTTGGGGAAAGGAAGGTTCGGATTTTGCAGGTTTGATGTTTGGAGTTTCGAGTTTATCCTGCCTGGGGACGTTGGCGATGAATGTTGTGCATATAGTATGTGCTGTTGAAATGATACCTTGATGGGGGAATCAAACTCAACCCACCGCAATCCTTTGCGCGACTTACGACTGGCGCTCATCCCGTGTTGTAGTCACGATGGATACGTATGAGTAAGGCCATCCCAAGTAAAGTGGTTCGCCCAGCGAAGACATGGCTTAGACCACTAGTTCAACCCCGAATCCAACCAAAAAAAGTCCCAAATCTGCAAATCCTAAACCCTATACCATGCAGTACCGCAAGCTTTCGGGCCATCAGACGGGGAAGTTGGGGACTTCTGAGCGCTAAACACCCTAGAACCCTAAAGCTAAAGCTTGAAGCACTAGATCGCTTCATCCCAGATGAAGACTCAACGCTATACCCTAAGCCCCTAAATCCCTAAATCCCCAGAGCTAGACCCTCCACCCTGGAGCCCTCAACCCCCTCCGCCCTGAACCCTCAACCTTCAACCCCCTAAACCCTCAACCCTGAACCCTGGAGATCCCTCGACCCCTGTCATGGAAGTATATAAGGAAATCAGAATCAAGAAACTCTAAAGAACTCTAACATTCTAAGCCACTTAAAGGACCCCCAGCCCAATACAGCTTTGAACCTAAACCCTAAACCCTAAACCCTAAACCCTAAACCCTAAACCCTAAACCCTAAACCCTAAACCCTAAACCCTAAACCCTAAACCCTAAACCCTGAACCCAAACCCCCCTGTTGCCTCCATCTCTAAAGCTCGACTCTTTGTCTCGTCCTCGTAGGCCGCGACCTCCACGAGGCTTCGCAGTGAATGGGCAGAAACTGGGGTGCGTAAGGGTTGTGTAAAGGGTAGGGATCTGTTTAGGGTCTAGGGTTTAGGGCATAAGTAGGGCTTTGTTTAGGGTTTACGGTATACGGCATAAGTAGGGTTCTGTTGGGGCGTAAGTAGGGTTCTGTTTCAAGGTTGGTTTCGGGTCAGGGTTCTGCAACAGCCCAATAAGGGCTTCACAGGATGTTTGAAAAGGAATGTTTCTGCTTCTGCGAGCATTTTACAAGGCTTTACTGAGTTCTGTGAGGGTGTCAGAACGGTTTAAGGGCTCAGGCTTACATTAAATTAAAGGGGTACTCTCTGCCGAAACTAAATTAAATCAGCACAAGCCGGCGCCTGTGCTAAACCCTGATATTCAGCATCTTGTCGTAGACCTTGAGGGCGGAAGCGATGAAGCCGTCTACGATTTCCGTGGACGTGGCATTCGGACGGGCCTTGTAGAGGTCTTGCACGTCCTTGTTTTTGAGCGAGATGCCAATGGCTGCTTCCTTGCGGCTCTTGAAGCCGACCACTTCATGGCACATCTGCCGCGCCGTGCGCTTCATGCTGTCGTGGGCTTGGGTGATCTGTTGGCGGGCCTCGTAGGCGGCCCAGTAGATCGCGTCTTCCCCATCGACGATCTCGAACTGGGCGGGAGTCGATAAGCGGATGGCTTTCCACTGCCGGAAGCCCCTTCGTTATGCGACGTGCTACGAAAAGCACGGCAGAGTGCACCACGTCCTACCCTAAAACCCCGCAACTCTAAACCCTCAAACCTTAAATCTTAAGTCCTAACCCGTGCTATCCCAACCCCTGCGATCCTAATCATACAGCTGCGTTTTTTGTACTGCGCTGGAAGGAGTTGCAAGGTTTAGCTCTTTTCGGCTAAAACACGGTTTAGGGAAGGCTTTAGGGGTTGGCGCTTTTGGGCCAGGGTTGAGGGCCTAGGGTTTCGGGTGAGAGCTTTGGGTTGCAATGAAACTGAAGTCTGAACCACTGACAGCTTTACACAGCCGCATAATGGATAATGGCCACCTAAACCCTAAACTCTGAACCCAGCGCCAAGCCAAAGAAATACTAAAAAAACACAATCCTAAACCCTACAAGCCCTACAAACCATATACCATACGCACTGTAAGCCCTATTAGTAATCGGCTATCAACCTTACAAAGCCCAAACCCGAAACTCTATGAACCCGAAACCTAAACCATATTAACCCTAAACCCTGAGATCTATAAAAACCCTAAATCTCAAATCCCAAACCCCTCCGAGAAAGACCCAGGTTCCCTCTTAGAGCTTCTGTTTTCCGGGTTAGGATTTCGGGTTGAAGGTTCAGGGTTTAGTGTTGGCGGCGGTTAAGGCTGGCTGACAGCTTAGGCTGCAATATAAGGGGCTGTTGGGGCCTTAATAATTAGAATAGGGTTTTGGGGATACAATATTTATAGTGAGGAATCGGCTCGGAGGTCGGCAATTTAGAGTTTAGGCTTCGGGCGTAAGGCACATGGTGTAAGGTTTCTGTCTCGGAATTCACACAGCTCCTGGCAAAAGCCAAAGTTACCAGCTTAAGGCTTAGGGCGTACAAACCATGGCATGGAAACACCGCATGACCACAAGGATCCATCCTGGGGTGTATTTTTTTTGCGTGCAACGCACCGCTCGACCATCCGCATCGGGCTCGCACTCTGGAAAAGACCTATCGAACATCCGAACGTCCTACCCTCGCACCTTCGCTGCCCTCAGCGTACACTTGCCACCAGCGCGAACATCAGTTCCGGCCAACATCACCAACACCACCCGTCGTCAGACTCAAGACATTCCCTGCGGCTTGCGTGTCAACAGAGTCGTGACGACTTCGAGCACAAGCAGCCGCATCACGCACGTGGCAAACAGCTCGACCCCAAGACCCTAAACCCGAAAGCCAGCATCGTGGGTGGCAAACCCCCTTGCGAGCGTCGTCCTTTGGACGTGTCCGCCAGCTGCGCTGCCCTGACCATGTAAGTTTTAGGGTTCAGTAGGGGTTTGGGTTTAGGCTTTAGGGTTGCAGACTTTAAGGTTCAACAGAAGTAAAGAAAACAATAAGCTCGGTTTGGGAGATCTCTACACTGGGTTCAACCCGAAAGCCTATTTAGGGTTTAGGGTTTAGGGGTTCGTGTTTTTTTACAGTCGGGGTGACTGTTTGCGTCTGCAAGAGACAGGCTCCCAACAGACGCAGAGTGCTCAGCTTCAGCAACCCAGCTGCAACTGCATCCGCATGTGCATTTGTATGGCTACGCGTGTGTTCATGCGTATGTATATGTGTATGTGCAGCTGCATCTGCATCTCTCTGCGCGCGTGTATGTGTAGGTGTATGTTTACGGATAGACCCATAGACAAGACATGGATGCCCTCCTCGGAACAAGTTTTTACAACCCGCAGATCCAAGCCGCCGCCACGGCAGTGGCCTCGCTTCCAAAGCGGACCCCCACCTTTGCGCACTGAGCCGGCGTCAGGCGGCCAGCGGCAGCAGCAGCCAGGGCCGCCAAAAGCACAGCTCGCCTTTGCAAGTTGCGGTGATACGCCACAAAGCCGCGGAAGGGGCCGAAGCCACACATCGCCCAAAAACGTGGGCATCCGCATCCTTCGGCTTGAGGGCCCCAAACGAACAACCCATCCTCTCCTCACCACAGATAAACCCTATGGAAATCTTTTTACAACGATCTATAAAAGTCTTGTCTAGACGGTCGCACCCTACATCCCCATTTTTACACCAAGCCCTCTATGGTTCGCATCTGCGAGAAAGAAAGAATTGCAACAGTCGGTACCCGAAGAAAAGCGTATGGGGCGTGGGACTCTTCAGGCATCAAGTATAAAAGAGGTGCGAGGAAAACGGCGGCTCTTGCTCTGGCAAGTCTCTCCACTTCGTGGAAAAGTGCGGTGACTCCAGGACTTACAGGGCTCAGAGCAGCTTTCGGTAGTATAATCTTCGTAGGGCAACAGGGGTTTAAGGTTTATAAGCTTAGGGCATGCAGAATGCTGAAAACAGCAGGACCTCGATGGACCGCGACACCTCCGCTGCTGCGGTCGAAGGAACCGGCCGTCCCGACCCAGAGGCCACTTGGGCAGGACTCGAAAACGAGCCCGCCCAAGATGGATCCTTGCAAGTTACCATGCGAGATGGCAGCACCAATGCGCAATCGAAGACCCGAAAACAACCTGTGAAGTTTCGCGAGGCAATAAAGGAAACCACATGCACACATGATGTGGGAAATCAGGCCTCAACCCGTTGATCGCCAACCCCGTCGGTGCCCGCGACGGAGGTGCCAGGGACGGGCGTACTGAGCTCGCCTCCACTGCGGCAAAGGCAGCGTCGCTTCCCGCGGCAGTATCGCGAAGAGCTTGGGCAGCAAGTTGGTCTCTTGCATGGGCCGTCCTCGGCGTGCGATCATGACCCCTTGCATCTCCAGTGACTTCTTCCTCTCCCCAACCGTGTCAACAGGTCTCTGCATCATCCGTTGGAGGTTTAGGGTTTAGGGTTCAGGGGTTTAGGGTATAGGGCTTAGGGTTTAGGGTTTAGGGTTCAGGGTTCAGGGTTCAGGGGTTTACGGTTTAGTATAAAAATGCCCGAGATGGCAACCGTCGCTTTCAAACCCCACCCCTTGGCCTTGACGCTAAATGACAGCCTCTACTCCG